AGAACTAATCCACAGCTGACCCTCCAGCAGGTTTCCAGAGGCAGCAAATCACACAGGAGGAGATTACCCATAGTCTCTAAGCTTTAATTGTTGTTGTTGTTGTTGTTATTGTTGTTGTTATGTGCTATCAAGTTGGAACCAATTCATACCTGACTCTCCAGCGCGTTTAAAGGCAGCAGTTTACACCAGAGGAGACTGTCCATCCTTCTCCTACAGAGCAGCAGGACTAGAACCGTGTGCCTTTGAGATTGCAGCACAGCTTCTTATCACTAGAACATAAGAGCTCTCACTAAGCTTTAGTTGTTGTTCTTCTTGTTATGAACTGTAGAGTCGGAACCAACCCATCACTGATACTCGAACAGGTTTTCAGAAGCAGTTAATCACATGGGAGGAGACTGCCCATCTTTCTCCTACAGAACACCTGGTGGATTCAAACCACGTGCCATAGGGATTGCAGCATAGCTTCTTGCCACAAGCATGTACTACTTTTGTCTTAAAGAAAAATTAAAAACAGAAGTTAACCTTTAGTCAATACTACCTATTAGGCCATCTTCAGATGATATCTAATCTCATTGTTGTTGAGTTGGTTCTCGCTCACAGTGAACCTCCATTGGTTTTAGAACTGCCAGCCTTTGGGTTAGCAACCCAGTGCTTTACACGCTATGCCACTAGAGTTAACAGTATCGAAAAGAAGATCCAAGTGCCTTTTTTAAACTTATTACATAATGATCAATCCATACATAGTCCAAGAGAAGTCCCCCGTGTCTTGTTCAATTTTATCTAAGATGTTTCTTTTCTTTACTTTGTAGACGCAAGACTCAGGAGACACCAGCATGTTGAAAAGACCTATGCATTTACACCAGACAGCCTGTTTTGACGAATTTGACTGCCCTTCAGAACTTCAGCACAAACAGGAGCTCTTTCCACAATGGCGTTTGCCAATTAAAACAGCTGCTATCGTATCATCTCTGACTTTTCTTTACACTTACTTGAGAGAAATAATCCATCCTTTAGTGACTACCCATAAACAGTATTTTTATAGAATTCCCATCCTGGTCATCAACAAAGTTTTGCCAATGGTTTCTATCACACTCCTAGCACTGGTTTATTTGCCAGGTGTGATAGCGTCAGTTGTACAGCTTCGTAATGGAACCAAGTATAAGAAGTTTCCGCATTGGTTGGACAGGTGGATGCTAACAAGAAAGCAATTTGGACTTCTCAGTTTCTTTTTTGCAGTTCTACATGCACTGTATAGTCTATCCTACCCAATGAGACGATCCTACAGATACATGTTGCTAAACTTGGCATACAAACAGGTAGGATGATGATGTGTCAACAATTCTGTGTCACCTAGAAATTGATCTTTCCATTTTAATGTCTCTATTGTTATGTGCCATCAAGTTGAACCAATTCATAGCTGACTCTCTAGTGGTTTTTTTGAACCTGTAAATCACACAAGAGATAACCTACCTTTCTTCCATGGAGCAGCTGGTGAATTCAAACCACCTGCCATTGGATTGGCAGTGCAACTCCTTACCAAAGGTCCTGTTAATGTGCTTACATGGTAAAGAGTTAAACTACCAACCCAAAAGTACACAGTTCAAAACCACCAACTACAGGCGAAGATGGGCAGTCAACTCCCAAACCATTTTTTACTGCCTCTTTAACCCCACTAGGAGGGTCAGTTATGAGTCAGTTAATAGAACATAACAATAACACATGGTAGAAGTATATATATACACACTTATATACATACACAGAGGAGCTGTGGTGGCCTAGTGATAAGAACCAGCATTGCAATCCTAAAGACTCGTGTATGGTTTGGGGTCACCAGCTGCTCTGTAGGAGAAGGATGGGCAGTCTCCCCCATGTGATTAAGTGCCTCTGAAAACCCGCTGGAAGGTCAGCCGTGGGGTAGATTCTAACTTAACAGTACTCAGCATGCACATGTGCGCACACACACACACACGTGTGTGGTGGTGTTGATTACCTTCGAGTGGAACACAACTCATAGCAACCCTATGAACAAAAGGCCTCTAGCCCCTTTACAACTATGAACATTTATCCAAGTTCATACAGTTTCCAGAGGCATATTGTTTAGGAAGTGGATACCATTCTTGCTTGGAAAGGTGTGGGGAGGGTCAGCGAAAGACAGGAAGACCCTCAAGCAGATGGACTGGCATGACTACAGCAGCAGTCTCCGATGTGTGAGAGATGATAAGGATAGGACAGGATTCAGTTCTGTTTTCATAGGGTCAGTATGAGTCATACTTGATGGCACCTAACAACAACATCTAATAGATACTATAAAAGACCCTTGTTGAAAATCTATGTTGAGAAAGTAATATATCTTTTAAGTTTTCATTATACCTCTTCACTGGGATTTGGTTGTATCGTTTTCTATTGAGGACTTATTTTTATAGGTAAATACAGCATTGAGGACTTATTTTTATGGGTAAATATAGCATTGAGGACTTATTTTTATAGGTAACTTTGTTGTTGTTGTTGTTGTTATGTGCCGTCGAGTCGTTTCCGACTCATAGCGACCCTATGCACAACAGCCCTAAACCCTGCTCTATCCTGCGCCAACCACACTGCCTCTGACACATTCATCCCGATTACCCCAGTCACCGAATCAATCCATCTCATAGAGGGTCTTCCCCTCCTGCGCTGTCCCTCCACCCTCCCAAGCATGATGTCCCTCTCCAAGAACCCGTCTCTCCTGGCAACATGTCCAAAGTATGTCAGACAAAGCCCCAGAATCCTTGCCTCCAAGGAGTAGCTTGGTTTAATCCTCTCCAAGATGAATCTGTTTGTTTTCCTGGCAGTCCATGGTACATTCAGTACCCTTCTCCAGCACCACAGCTCAAAAGCATCCACTCTCCTTCTGTCCTCCCTAGTCATTGTCCAACTCTCTGATGCATAACAAGCAATTGCAAATACCATGGCCTGTATCAGGCGCACCTTAGTCTCCAGAGAGACACCGTTGTTCTTGAGTACTTTAGAGAAGTATAAATTTAACAGCATAAATATTTTGTTCATGGCCAGGGCCACTTTTCTACTACCCTCACAATTATTACTTTTTAATAATAATTGTTCTTATTTATGCTTCAACAAGAGCTTATGCCAACTAAACCTTCATATAACTAAAAATGAACTGCATAAATGTTGTATTCAAGGAAAAAAGTGATTGCTATTGTGTTGTTTCTGTTAGACATGTAAAAAAAGTCACAAATTAGTGAAGGTTCCTATACAGGAAGCATTTCTTTTTCCATTCTTTTCTTTTTTTCCTCTCTGGTAGGTCCAACAAAATAAAGAAAATGCTTGGATTGAACATGATGTTTGGAGAATGGAAATTTACGTGTCTGTTGGAATCTTGGGACTTGCAATACTGGCTCTGTTGGCTGTGACATCTATACCATCAGTGAGTGATGCTTTGACCTGGAGAGAATTTAACTTTATCCAGGTAAACAATATGTAGAATCATTATGGTCTTGCAAAAGAAATATAGTATCATTGATATAGTGACCTTGTTGTTGTTGTTATGTATCATTGAGTCTCCTGTAACTCACAGCGACCCTGTGTACAACAGCTATAAACCCTGCTCTATTCTGAGTCAACCTTATTGTCTCTGATACACCTACCTGCATTACTCCAGTCACTGAGTCAATCCATCTCATCAAGGATCTTCCTCTCTTGCACTGTCCCTCTACCCTCCCAAGCATGATGTCTGTCTCCAAGAACTGGTCCCTCCTTGCAGCATGTCCAAAGTGTGTCAGACAAAGCTTCTAAATCCTTACCTCCAAGGAGCAGCCTGGTTTAACCCTCTCCAGGGTGAAACTGTTTGTTCTCCTAGCAGTCCATGAAATATTTAATATGCTCCATAGCGCAAAGACATTAATTCTTCTATCATCCCTAGTAATTGTCCAGCTTTCTGATACATAGTACATAATTGCAAGGACTATGGCCTGGATCAGGTGCACCTTAGTCTCCAGACAGACATCGTTGCTCTTCAGTACTCTGATGATGTCCCTAACAGCAGACTTTCCCAATGCAATTCATCTTTTCATTTCCTGGCTGACCTTACTCTATTAAAAATAGCAAATGTTTTCCCATAGCAAAAAAATCTAACAAACTAGGTACTCGCTTATATTTTCTCTGTTGTTTCTAAATAATAAAAGGATTGTTTAAACATAATGAAAAGACATTACTCAGAAAACAGCATTCTTTCTAACATTTGAATTTTTGTTTTTTAGTTTTTATTCTAATTGCTATCCACCTAAACCAAAATCCACCACTATCGAGAAAATTTTAGCTCGTAGCAATCCACTATTAGATTTCTGAGACTAAAAACCTTTTAAGGATGCAACCACCCATCTTTCTGAGTGGGTGGTGGATTCATACTATTAACCTTTCAGTTAGCAGTCCAGCTTATTATGGGCAGCACCACCACTCACCTAATAACTACAAATATAATGTTTTAGGTACCAAATATCCATGTTAATACATAAAAAAAGAAAAATGTTCTTCTACCTACTCCCTGAATTTATTCATTGTTTTTAAATTTCATAATTTGGTACTTCCCAAAAAAGCATCTCTCCCAGAATTATGTTGTTTTACCAACCAAAGGCATTCTCATATATAATTTTAAATGTTCTTTTTCTGAGTTACATTTTATGTAACTTACTCACCTGAAGTTTCTAAATATTCTTAGAATTCAAAAGGTATCTCGGTTTTTTAAAGTAAAGCCATTTGTGTTAGATTATACCCTAAAGAGAGATGCCTGCCAGAATTCACAAGGTAATCCATGTCTGACAAGATTCAAATGACTAAATTTCATTCAACTCTACTCTCTGCCAAGAGCTTTTAAATTATATAGCTTTAGCTTTATGAGTCGGCATCTTTGGAAATTCCACAAAATCAGGCATTCCTCACTACCCTTTCCAACATGCCCACATGTGTTCTAACATGTGCTTTAGAAGAGCATCTGATGAGGCTGGAAAAGTCTCTCTCCATCTGAGTTCCTCCAGTGTGGCTTAGAGAGAGGCCACTTTCAAAAGTGTATTGTTTGCAAATATTGTAGATTTTGCCTAACAGCTATCAGAATTCTTTGTTCCCCTTTAAGTGACTTTCTTCTTACATTGGAGCATCACTTTTCTGATTTAATGAGAAAAAAAAGTATAATACATTCTTCCTGACAACTGAGTCTGTTCTTCTGTGTACGTGTAAATAAATGAATTAAGTGAAATTAATCTTCACCCAGTGACATTTATAGTCTAAGAACTCGAAGGTATATAATGAAATACCATAGATTCATACCTGAAAATATAAACTGAACTTTTTATTATATTCATTAGGGCTTAAGAACAAAAAAAATTATAAGTTGGAATCATTAAGGCAGACTAATAATTTTTAATAAAGTGAAGTCAGAAGTCATCTAGGAGAGCCATAGATTAAGCAACTTTAAAGCACCAGGCATCTCATTGCAAGCTGGAATTTCTCTTCGTAATTCTAGATTCCCATATTTTATTCAGACATGGACATTTTTAAAAATACTTTTCCTTTTACTAAGGTGTTTGCTTTTTTTAAACTATAAACTAAAGTCATTGACTTCAATATTTATTTTCCAAAATGGAAGTCAATTAATTTAGCTGCCTTCACAATTGATAGATGACTGACACCATATTGATTTCTGCAGTGATCTTTAGTCAACCAAACAATCTTAATTGAACACCTGAAATGTGCAAGCCATTCTGTTGAATGTATGAAAGCTAAGACATCGTCCTTTACTTTGGATGTCTCTGGATAGAAAAATATATACAAACACATAAGAGGCCCCTAACTCATTCTCATTGCCTCGGAGTTGGAAGCGACTCATAGCTCACTCTCCAGCAGATTTTTCAGGAGACTGCCCATCTGTCCCTCAGAGTCAGTGTTGTCTTCAAACCACCAGAGAGGGTTATGAGTACAGTTCCGTGTGGACACCACCAGAGTGCCATCCCAAGAGACACAGGACCATAAAAACAAACGTTGTAAGAGAGATTAATAAAGTGTTGAAGAAAGAGAGGACATTTTTTTTCAATAAGCCAAGACCAAAAGGAGGACAGTCAAAATTTTTTCAGCTTAGAAGATCTAGAGACAAGGAGATCACTCTAAAGTAAAAGAATAAAGTGACTTGTAAAAAAGGGTAAAGACATAAATGGACATCATTGAAGAATATGATAGGAAAACCATCACACATAAATGAAAGGATTTCCAAGCAATAGCTTGGATTCAAAGTAGATAGCATGAGTGGAAGTCTTATTGAACTTATCATAAGCTAATCTTTTTCTTTGTGTTTTCTTTGCCAGAGGAAACTAGGAATGGCTTCCCTTCTGCTGGGCACAATACATGCATTGATTTTTGCCTGGAATAAATGGGTAGATATAAAGCAGTTCATGTGGTATACACCTCCAACTTTTATGATAGCAGTTATTCTTCCAATTTCTGTCCTGCTGTGTAAAGTCATATTGCTCCTGCCGTGCTGGAGGAAGAAGATACAGAAGATTCGGCATGGATGGGAAGATGTCACCAAGACTAATAAGCCTGATATGTCTTCATACTTATAGAATTATTTTTACCCATTTTGTTCAATTTTGGTATATTTTATCATAAAACATCCTGAAATGTATTCATTTAAATAAAATTATTATCTCAGTATCTCTTTATCTATATATGTATTTTCTTGATTTTATTCAAAGGCCCTCATCCCCCCAAAAACCTAATTTTACATAATATCACCACATATACTAAAATTGAACTATCAAAATTATAAACAATCACAGGGGGGAAATAACGTTTGACAACAATGCACAGCATAATCAACAACGAAAGGCCTTAAAATACCGCTGCTTGCTTGTTATCCATCACACAGGTAACAGAAGAAATGAAATCTACAAGTATAGGCAATATTTGTGAATGCTTATTTAAAACTAAACCATGTGCATATGCCTTTCTATGACCAAGTTTTTCCATAAAATACCTGTTTAAAAAGAACACACTGTATTAAAACAATAAAGTAATATCAGATATGTTGTTACGTGCCGTCGAGTCACTTGCGACTCATAGCAACGCTACGCACAACAGCCCTAAACCTTTCTCTGTCCTGTGCCAATCTCACTGTCTCCAACACACCTATCCCGATTACCCCAGTCACTGAATCAATGAACCTCATAGAGGGTCTTCCTCTCCTGTGCTGTCCCTCTACCCTACCAAGCATGACGGCCCTCTCCAAGGACCGGTCTCTCCTTAAAACATGTCCAAAGTATGTCAGATGAAGCGTCAGAATCCTTGACTCGAGAGAGCAGCCTGGTTTAACCCTCTCCAGGACGAACCTGTTCGTTTTCTTATTAGTCCATGGTATATTCAATACTCCAGCACCACAGCTCACAGGCATCCATTTTTCTATCCTTCCTAGTCATTGTTTAGCTCTCTGATGCATAACAAGTGATAGCAAAGACTATGACCTGTATCAGGCGTTAGTCTCCAGAGAGACACCATTGCTCTTCAGTATTTTGGTGAGGTACCTAATAGCAGACTTTCCCATTGTAATATGCCTTTTAATTTCCTGGCTGCTGGTGCCAAGAGTGTTGACTGTGGAGCCAAGCAAACTAAGCCTGTGAACAATCTCAATCTCTTCACCGTCCATCCTGATGCTGCTAATTGGTCTAGTGGTGAGAATCTTTGTCTTCTTGATATATAGTAGGTAAACTGAAACTTAGGTAATCAAAAAGAAAAATAAACTTGGTTGTATACTAGTCAATTGGAGTTACCTTAACACATTATTTTTGTGTGCCATTGAGTACGATTCAACTCATAGCTGACCCTTCGGCAGGTTTTCAGAGGCAGTGAATCACACAAGAGCAGATTGCTCACCTCTCCCATGATTTGAACCATGTGCCTTCGGGATTGCAACACAACTTCTTACCACTAGGCCACCAGAGCGCCCTATATTAATATATTCAAAAAATACATTAGGGAAAGCATTTTATGAAGCATTTCTTCATAGAACAACCTATATTCTATTAGAACTCATGAAGCTAATTGAAACCCACAAGTCTTTCATGTAAGTAAATTACGATTAAAGATAATACTAATGATCCAAAACAGGAAAAAAATTCAAAATGGAGTCCAATTTGTTATTTTTGTTTTAGGGAAGACAATTAGCCATTGTATGTTAGTGGACTACAATTCATAGCAACCCTCTGAACAAGAGATTGGAACCTGGCCCTCACTATCTCTTCCACACTCAAGCCCATTGTTTCAGTCCCTGAGTCAGTTCATCTCACTGAGAGTCTTCCTCTACATTGTCCCGCATGAAGACTTGTTCCAGCGACTGGTACCTCCTAACATGCCCAAAGTGTGTGAGACAAAGTCTCACCAACCTTTCCTCAAAGGGGCACCATGGTGAAAGACAGATTCACTGGTGAGAACTACACAATTCACTTTTTTGTATGTTTTCTGAATTTTCTACAGTTATTACATATGCATGTGAAGGTAGCCAGAGAATAAACAAGATCGAAGAAGAATTGATGTTTTTTATTTGTTATTGTTAATAAAACATTGAACTGTATCTCATTTCTATCAAGTTAGTACTGAATCCTAGCTGATCCTCCACTGGGCCTAGTGAGGCTACAAACCACACAGGAGATTGCCTATCCTTCTCCCAAGGAGTGACTGATGGATTCCAGCCCCCAGAGAGGCATTGTCTCTGGTTAGCAGTTTAACTCTCTACAAACTACACCACCAGAGCTCCCTATGGGACATACCAAAAGAAGAAACATGTTCCCCTTGGAAGAAATGTAACTAGAATGCTCCTTTGAAATCAGGAGCCTGAAACTTTATCTCGCATATATTGATTGTGGTATTAGGAAGGAAACTCCCTGGAAAAAAAGATGCTATTAGGTGCTATTGAGCCATTGAGTTGAGTATGACTTGCAGCGACCTCAAGACAACAGATCTGAACCTTGTCCTTTCCTGTGCTAACCTCATAATCCCTGACACAGTCAAGTCCATTGCTACAGTCTCTGTGTCAATCTTCCTAGTCAAGGTTCTTCCTCTCCTTTACCATCCCTCCACCTTTACAAGCATGATGTCCTCCAACAAATAGCCACTCCTAGCAACATACCCAATACATGTGAGACAAAGCTTCACCATCCTTGCCTCCAAGGAGTGCGCTGGCTTAATCTTGTCCATGACATATCTGTTTGTTCTATTGGTATTCCATGATATGTTCAATACTAACCTCCAATACCACAACTCAAGGGCGTCAGTTTTCCTTCTGTCATCCTTAGTTATTGTCCAGCTCTCAGATGCATAACAAGTGACTGTAACGATTATTGGTTTGAATCAGGTGAATATTACTCCTCAAACTGACATCATTGCTCCTCAGTAATTTGGAGCCATCCATGACTCCAGACTTGCCTAGTGCAATATATCTCCTGATTTCCTCATTGTTAATGCCAAGTATATTGATTATGCATCCAAGGAAGAGGAAGTTGTTGACAATTTCAATCTTTTCTCCATCTATCATGATGTCACTTATCAGCCCAGTGGTGAGAATTTTTGTTTTCTTGACACTGAGATACAATTCATATTGAAGACTGCAGTGACATGCTTGGTAAATGGAGAGTGGTCAACAAAAGAGGGTGACCCTCGACAAGGTGGGCTGGCACTCTGGCTGCACCGATGGGCCCCAGCACAGCAGTGACTGTGTAGGTGGTGTAGTGATTGTGTGGGTGGTGTAGGACCGGGAAGTGTTTCACTCTGTTGTGTACAGGTTGCTAAGAATCATAACTGACTTGATAGCATCTACAACAACAAGCAAAGAAAACAAAGACATTTTGGGAGGAAAAATACTAACTTCTTGTAATTGTTGGAGGCCATTGAGTTGACTATGACTCATAGGAAACAGATCAGTCAGAACAGAAAGAATGAGAATATTTATTCACTCATTGTCCAAAATGTAATAACATCACAGAACAATTAGTGTGGAAATGATAGACTAGGAACTTAACTGCTGCTGTGTAAACCATCACCCAAAATATTGCTTAAGAAAAATAATAAACCCAGTCAAATATTATGTCCATCTGTAAGTGTGGATTTTCTTTCATTCATTCAGCCAACACATTCATTCACTCCTTGTGTATAAAAAACAAAAACAAAGTCGAAATAGAAATTACCTAGTCACCTACTCATAATCTCATAAAGAAGACAGGTGACAGCACAGAATGTTGGAGTTCTAAGTTTAGCAGTATCACTAAGAAGAAAATGAACATTACTATTTAGAAGGGCAAAGTTAGAGGAGTGTGAAGTTAATCCAGAGAAATAGAAACTGAGGTAGATAACAAAAAAATGAGTAAGATTTCATCAGAAGGAATTGAAGGAAAGGTAGTTTCTTGAACAGTGTAAAGATGTTAAATGGCCTGATATGTGTTAGGGAGTTCAGAGTGACTGAAAGCAGGTATGTAGAGAATACTGGATTTGACAGGGACACAGAATCAACACAGCCATTAATTACATGGCATAAAATCAAGTTTAAACTTTGTTCTTGAGAGAGAAGACATGTCACTGAAACATTTTTAAGTAGGGACTTAAAGGGATCAGACTTGCATTGTTGATAGATTTATCTGTAGATTATCTGGGAGAAGGATTTGACAGTGCAGAGTAGAGTAGAATTTAAAGGAAAATTGAAAGATTAGAAGAACAGTTGCGGAGTCTTATTCTTATACTGAGACAAATTCCTTAAGAAAAGAGAAGAGATAAGATATATGGTAGAAAAGCAGCATTTCCAGGAATTTATGACTAGTAGGATATGAGGAATGAGGGAAAGAAAGGCATTTAGGGTGACTCCCAGAAAAGAAATGTCATCACACAAGATAAGAAATTTCAGGGATCTCTGGTGGCCTAGTGGCAAGAAGTTGCACTGCAGTCCCAAAGACCCTCAGTTTGAATCCACCAGATGCTCCGCTGGAGAAGGAGGGGCAATCTCCTCCTGTGCCAGTCAGATCTGATTCGACAGCACACAGCAAGTAATAAAAAAAAATAATAAAAAAATTTTTTAAGAAGATAAGGAATTCCACAGATGGAACTAGGTTTTTGTGTTTGTTTATAACACCTCACCCCAAATAAAAACAGGTAGTGTATAAATTTTATTCTGGTAGCAGTAATCTCAGTTGCTAAAATATACAGTGAAAAATTTCAGTTTCAGAGTACACAAGCTCACTGCTGGAAGGCATAGAATGAATATTGAACAATGAGAAGGGAAAGAAAGGTGTTTCCCTGATCCTGTGGTGATTAATCCAGAAAGCCTCTGATACAGTCCTGGAAGACAGTCCAATTGTAATAAAAAGGTCAATGTCTAGAAAAGCTGTTGGCTAGGAGCCCAATATCTATCCCAAGCTAAACTCATTTCCTTGCTCAAAATTAGTCTTCCAACCACTCCAGAGGAGAAAGATGAGGCAGTCTATATGTACGTAAAGATTTACAAATCTATGGATGGAGCTGTGGTGCTGGAGAAGAGTACTGAATGTACCATGGACTGCCAAGAAAACAAACAAACTCATCGTGG